ACACAAGTTTAGGGGTTAGACCTGTGAAAATTGAATAGAATTGCTACATATGTGTGCATGTGTATTCCCATAAACATACTCAGTTTTGCATGACTACATTAATATTAAATGTAAAGAATTGTATGAGTACATAATGAAAAACAAGAGAAATAAAAATTTCTTTTTTGGCTTGGATAAAGTGATGATCAAATAAAGAAAGAAATAAAATTCTAAAAGAATGAACAAAAAAACTCCCCAAATCAATATGTTATTATAACAAGGTAATGGGGTACAAGGTTCAAATACAAACATCACTTTCCTGAACACCACAAATTACATGTGGAGTATAAAATACACACGTGGAGCAACTTGTGTTTGCTCTTCCCCAAAAGAAATATTCAGTTTTAAATCTAACAAGAAATACATATATTTTGAAGAAAAAATCATAAAGCTGATGAAAGCAATTAAAGAAATGAATATACGGAGATATGTTTATGGAGAGAAATATTCAAAATTATCAAAATGTTAATTCTCCTCGATTTTATCTACAGATTCATTGTTATATCAACTAAAAGTTATTTTTTAAATATTGATGAAACTCTAAGCTTCATCTAAGTGTTGTAGGGACAGACAAAAGGCCTGGAATAACCAGCAAAATAGTAAAGGGGAAAAATCCGATTGTGTTAGTGGATTATACTAAAATATTTCTGTTTTAAAAATCGGCTTTCTGTAAGACCTAGTCAAGAGAATAAGAAATCAAGAGGAACAGCAAACAAACAAAACCAACTGCAAAAGTCATATCCGATAAGGGAGCTTGCGATGGTCAGTTTTATACATAAATTTGAATGTGCGGTGGAGTGCCTCTCTACCAATGTTTCTGAATGTTTCTACAAGAGTGTTTCCAGATAAGATTTAGTATTTGAAATAGTGGATCAGTAGAGCAGATTCCCCTCCATAATTTAGCTGAACATCATTCAAAATATGTACAGACTGAAAAGGGTAATAGGCAGAGGAAGACAGAATCTGCCTTTCTCCCTGATCTCTTGAGATGGAGCTTTGATCCTTTGTTTTCTGACTAGAATTTCCACCACCAACTCTCCTGATTCTTAGCCTTTAAAAATAAGACTTGGCCCAGGATTTAGGTCAGTGGTGCCGCCACCTGCCTAGAAAGCTCAAGGTCCCGAGTTCTATCCCCGTACCAAAAACAAACAAACAAAAACAAAAACAAAAGACCAAAGAAACAAAACCACCCACCACACACCCAAACACACACACACACACACACACACACACACACACACACACACAAGTCAAAAAACACTAATTTATACCACAAACATTCCTCAGTTTCTAGTCTGCAGGTGGCTAGTTGTGGGCACCTTAGTCTCCATAACTTTGGTAGAAAATTTATCCTAATAAATCTATCTATCTATCTATCTATCTATCTATCTATCTATCTATCTATCTAGTTCTTTTTCCCTGGAAAACTGTAATACATCCTGTGATGCAAATAGTCCAAAAGTTAAAACTCAATAAAGAGAAAATGGACAACCTTTTTAAGAAGAAAAAATACTCAAAAGACCTGAACAGAATTTTCACTGAAGAATATGAGAAAGCTGAGTGTGATTGCACACTCACAATCCTAGCACTCTGGAAAGGACAGTTGCAAGTTGGAGCACCACTTGGGCAATTTAGCAACTTAGTGTTGCTCTATCTAAAAATTTTAAAAAGTACAGAAGAATTTCAGACCTAGAGCAACGTGACAACTCTAGGTTCAATCCCCACTACCACAGGGAAAAAGAAAAAGATAAATATGAAGATGGTAGACAAGCAAATAAAAAGATATTCAACATCAGGCACCTTTGGGGATTTGCAGATTACAACAAACATTGGCTAGCAGTGCACACTTTTTAAAATGGCCAAAATCAAGAGCATTGCCAACATCAACAGAGGGCGACAAAATAGTCATTGTTTATGTGAATGTTAAATCGTGAAGATATATTGGAAGACTGTTTCACAGTGTCTATCAAAACTACTCATACCATATGACTGCATCAAAGAGATATTTACCCATGAGCAGGAAACATCTCCATTCAAAAACCTATGAATAGTTGTTTATAGCCATTTTACTTATAAATACCAATAAATAAAGACAACCAATGTATCCTTTAGTAAGTGAATGGACATTAATTGATATTCCATCCAAGTAATGCAATATTGTCACTTAAAAATGAGCTACTGAGCTATACAAACATAGAGTAAGCTTAAATGAATATTAAGTAAATGAAGAAAATATTAAAGGGTAAGAATGGCACATTTCAGTTATATAACATTAAGGATAAGAGAAAACTATGGAAAAACTATAAAGATTAGTGTTATCAAGGGTGGGGGAAGGAAGAGTGAAGATGTAGAGGAAAGGGTATTTCTATAGTAGTGAAGTTAGTCTCTATGGTAGTATAATGTGGATACATGTTACTATACATGTATCAGAACTCAATAAATACCCAATACAAACAAGGAGTCTTAATGCATACCCAGCACTTTACATGACACTAAGGCATCACTGTAGGCTTGTTAGCTGTGAAAAATATGCCAATCCTCAGGACAAGGGTGTCAGAGGCAGTGTGCCAAGTGAAAAGGAGCATATGGACATTTCCTGTATTTTCTGTTTTATTATGAATGGGTCTAAAATTGCTCAAAAATAAATGTATGTTTACAATTTTAAAACTTATTGTGCGTTAGCTCTGCTCTAAGCCACACAGCTCTCATGCACCCAGGCTCCAGATTAGAAAGAGACTGGCCTCTACTGGGATTCTGTAGCTCTAAGCCTTTGCCTGTATAGCACTTGTCTCTTTCTCCTGCTAGCAGAGGCAAAGCATCTGGGACATCTTCAAGAGAACTTATGAGCTTAAATGAATCTTGAGACAATTTTTTCTGAGAAGTATGTGTCGATTCAGGATATGATCCTTTATTTTCTTTCTGTACCGCGGATCGAACTCAGGTCCATTGTGCTTGCAAAACAGTTGGTGGAACCACTGAGCTAAATTTCCAGCCCACGATCCTTTCTTTGTTTTCATGAGCAACTATGGCTCTGAAATTTTCTTCCATTTTTTTCAGGCATTGGCTATGGTATAAGAGAATAACATAATAGCACCTCAAACAAATTATTAAATTCCATATTATAAAACAAGGTTCCTTCACATATCCCTTTAAATCCAAATTATATGTAAAGATATATGTATTGTTTACTTCGCATTGGTTGGTTTTATCCTCAGATGTATATGTTTTACAAAACATAATTTTAATGATTTTACTGTAAAGGATTATCCTTCATAACACTCTCATAGTTCTCTCCAACAGAGGCGAGTCCTACTTATATTTTCGAATTGGAAAAGACATTTTTATTTTTTTCCAACACTACAAAACATACATCACTTTTATGCAACATTTTCATAAATCTTTTTGCTGGTTCATTCCTGCATCAACTCAATTCCTACTTATGCAATTATCACACGTGATGAAAGATGAAACATTGTTCTTTTTAATGAGGGTGCTTGAGGCTTTTTCATATTCATGAATTACATGAATCATTTATTATCATATTATTATAATTTATTTTGATGGGAATGATTTTCTACTTAGCTTCAGGAAAATTTTCCTGAACTCCTTCACTTATATTCTAACAACTTTGAAAATCATGAGACATTTTTCTGGCAATTGAGGCTCTCAACTAAAGTCACTACAGATTCAATCATTTTAATTTTCTTTTTAAAGAAGAGAAAACTTGTTTATCCTTCAGTGAAAACAACTCATTGACTAGTCTTTTCCACTTTTAAAATTATTTTTATTCTTACCTTGAATATACAGCTTCATTTCATTTTTATGTCAATATATAGTTTGTAAAAATGCTTGGTGAATTTTATAGTTAATAAAACTTAGAAATGGACTTGGTGAACTTTATTTTGGATATAATAGATAACTTCCTGTGAGTTACAACAATAAATAATTAAATGTGAGTTTGATTGAACTCACTGGTGTCCTTAAAGATAACCATGGTCCAAATTATGTTTAGTAAAATTAAAATGAAAAATATTAAATAACTAATATTTGAAAGTATTAACATTTACATTAAAGAATATGCACACAGATATACATATTTATAATGTAGTCACTTCATGACAAACTTTAACAATTTTGTAACAATTGAAAGGCTCTGGATATACCTAGCCCTGTAGAAAATCCGTTTTTGCTATTTTGACATGAGAATCAATTGACAAAGATATCTGATTTCTGAAAGAGGTTGTTTGTGTATTCACAATCACAAATGGGCATATAATATTTTTGTCTCCTCATTTAATCCAAGTACCCATGAAGAAAAGTGTATTAAATGTCCCCGTTTGAATTATAAGGCATATAATGTGACCTTTACCTGTGATTTCTTGAATCAATCTTATCATTTTATTGGCTTATTTACATAGATCAGTTTTTGTTACTTTTTCTGACAAAAGTGCATTTTAAAAATCTTGCTATGTTGAAACTGTTCCTGCTGAAAAATGTTTTTGTAGGTGTGTGCACTCCTTTCATGCTTTCCCTCATCAAACTTTGACAACCCCGTGAGGGAGGGAGCTATGCAAATAACTCTGTGGAGAAGAAAATTAACCTCTGCTCAAATCAATATGACCATCTTAACTGACACTTCCGTGGACAGTGAGTGGTGAAGTGCTCAGGGCACCAGCAGGAAGAGTAAGCTTGGGCAGAGTGCTGGCCTCAAAGGCCACCTAGCACGGAAATGTCTCAGACAGGCATGTTAGCATGCTACCAAACAGTGACTTGAGACATGTAGCTCTAAGGACATACCTCCGAGATTAAGGTTTTATGCATCATTAAGGTACTATTTTTCTCAGAAATGTGGCTTTCTTTCAAATGTATGTTTTTCAAAATACACTTTTTAAAACAGAAGAAACTAAGTTGTTCAATGTTCCATGTAGAATTCATACTGATGTTTTAAATATATATTGCAGGAGTTATTAGAACAGCTTTACACAATATGGACAGAGAAGCCAGAGAACACTATTCTGTGGTCATTCAAGCCAAAGACATGGCTGGACAAGTTGGAGGGCTTTCAGGATCCACGACAGTCAACATTACCTTGACCGATGTCAATGACAACCCACCGCGATTCCCTCAAAGTACGTACCTGTTTCCGGTGAATTGAAATAATCACGATCCCTTTATGTAAAATGGAGGAAACAATTTAATGTATAATGTTATATTTTCTTAGCTGGGGATATTTTGCTTTTGTTTCCCTTGTTTTTTTTTTTTTTTTTTTTTTGGTCAGGAATCAATAAATCCCTCAACCCATTGACTTATGAACCTGAAAGATAACTGTCATCATGCTAAAGTTATTTATTTGTGTAGATCACAATTAAATATTAAAATAGGATGAAAGTTTGCAACAAGTAGCAAACTGACACTTTCCTGAAAATGACGTGCTCTTGATATATTAGCAGAGATTTTATTCATGCAGTAGAATATAACACGTGCTTTCTGTGAAAAAATTTTAGACTTTCTTGAGATAAATGAATGGTGTAAATGCACGTGCGCATGCACAGACGTGAACACAAATGTGTAACTAATTTAATTTAAGTGACTAGTAACTAATTTAATGAGAGGATCTCAGAATGGAAAATGAATCTTGAAACAGATCTCATAATCCAGAAAACAATTTAAGGAAGCAGGGAAGGTATTAATTACTTGAATTTCAAGGTAGATAATATTCATAATATCTGCAGGATACAGTACAGTGTTTCTAACATCACAGAGATGGTAGAAGACATTTTATACCATAATCTTCAGGTATCTTAAAATTCTTACAGGGGAGTTGTCAAGCTTGTCCATCTTATGAGTTATGTTTAAAAGTGTAGTGACATGGATAGTGTAATATGTCGATAAAGGCTTTCACAAATAAATATGAAATGTCGGTCTTATAATTATCTCATAATGCCATTTTCACTATAGCAAGACCTAGCCATAGTGGAATACTGCCTTTTCCAAAAGTATAGTAATGCATTGAATATCTTTATTTCAATTGGAATTTTTCTGCACTGAAATTTATTTAATAACTCTTCTATACGTTTCTTTGAAATCTGCTGAAGAATTAGCAGAGACACAGCTTTTTTTATTTATGCTTTATATATCACTTTTGTATGCATGTTCTTCTTATACTTCTTTTCATAATTTCATGCTTCCTTTACCACCATGAAAGCTTTTAATTAAGAATGTCACTTATGATGCTGTTATACTGTAAGTGTTCATCCCCCTGACAAGTATGCGATAAACAGTTGTTAAGTGAATGAATTAGTTGAATACTCTATCAAATTATCATTGTTTAAATCCCCAGTATTAAACAAATGCAAGCCAAGTTCACAGTTAAGTAAAATCCACTTTAAAATATCATTGTGATTGCTTCTCGGCCTTTTGGCTAAGATCAAGTGTAAAATATCATTGTGTTGTGATTTAAATCTTGCTATCTCCCCAAAGCCTCATCATTTTATAGGAGGGGCTTTAAAAGGATAATTTGATTATGGGGATATTCTAATTTACTTGCTCTTAGGAACTGGCTTCAGGTTGGAAGAGGGGATCCCTGGAGGCACGACCAGGAAGGGCGTATCTCCTTTTCTGGCGCCTCCCTTTACCCTCTCCTTCCTGAATGCCGTGTTCTATATGTCTTAGGCCCCTTTGCTCTACTGTCTTGCCTTGGAGCCAGCTGACTGTGAATTGAAACATGAATCAAATATACCTCTCCTTTAATTTGTGGGCCCTAGATATTTTGTTGTATGGTGAGGCAAGTGATGAAGAAAAAATTTGGTGCCATGAGTGAGGCCGTTGTCATATGGCTTAGAGGCCCTTGGAACTAGCTTGCAGAAGGAGTTTGAAAAGATTTCAAGATGCCTGGGCCGGGGATTTAGCTCAGTGGTTCCACCACCTGCCTTGCAAAAAAAGCATTAAAAAGAAGCACAAAGACCTGAGTTCGATCCCTGGTACCAAAACAACAACAACAAACACAAAAAACAAAAAACAAAAAACCCAAAATGCCAGCTGGAGGAGCCATAGGATGCTGTGAAGCAAGCTTGGTGGGAGATTCTGGAACAGATTCAGAGGACTAGAATGCTGATAAAAAGACAGGCAGCAAAGAGAAGGCTTAGGAGGTTTGAGTTGGGAACAAGGGCTCCATGTTGGATATTAGGCCACACGTGGTATGCTGTATCAGAAAGTGTGTCTATGTTTTGCTCACATAGTGTGATTTTTCATGAGTCTGAAATTAAATATGGTGGACTAATTGATCTGGTGGAGAAAATTTCAAGACAGCCCATTCTTCAGAGTGCAGTATGGTTATTGCTTTTAGCAAGACCTACTGAGAGAAACAGGAGGGAAAAGAGCATTTCAATTTTTTTTTTTTTGCCAGAAATAAAGTGCCTGAAAAGATGGAGCAGAGAAGAGTTGGCTGAATAAAGAGACTAGCATTAAAAAGAAGCCAAGTACTTTGCATTGGGATGATAGGAAACACGGTTTGAGTGCATGTTAGGAATCAGCAAACCCTTCTCTCTCTCTCTCTTTCTTTTAATTCATTAAGTTTATTGGTGTATTTTAGATATACAATATGATGACATTCATTATTGGGAATTTGTGCATTTACATGATATATCTTTACATAGTATAACATTTCCCCCCATTCCTCTGCCCTACCTTCAACTCCATCCTTTCCTATCTACAAAGACTTTATTTCCATTTTTTTCTTTTTCTCATATTTTTCCTTTTCCTTCTTTATTTTCTCCCACCATTCCCACTTCACCTCCCCCTTCCCCTTTGGGCCTTTTTCTTCCTATATGACATCATGTATTATACATTGTGATCCTCATTTGACCTAACTATTCCCTTGCTGGGTATCATCCCAATAGATTTAAATCATACCACATTGATATGTGCACACCCATGTTTATGATGGCATTGTTTGCAATAGCTAAATTTTGAAAATAGCCTAAATGCCCATCAACTGATTAATGCATTAAGAAGCTGTGGCTTATTTTTTTTTTATAAATTGGAGTACTACTCAGGCATAAAGAATAAAAAAACTAGAGGCCTTTATAGCTAAATGGAGACACATTGAGGCCATAATCAAGTGAAATGAATAGGACACACACATGCAAATACTGAATAATTTCTCAAGTGTGAAAAACTGAAAGTGTGAATGAGGATCAAGTCTCTTCTCTTTGAAATTTCTTTTTGAAGAGGGTAGAAGGCTGTAAATCTTTCATTCGAGAAGGTAGTCCGGAGGCAACATATTGAGGCAGGGTCACCTAAGGTATTGGTGCCTTGGAATTTGGTTCATAGTGTTCACCAATACAGGCACTCAGGCCTTTGTAGACAGGATTCAAAGGGGCCTGGCTACTACTCAGATGGAGGCAGATCTTGGCATCATCTACATGGTGTTGGTTTTAGTGGTTTGTAAGGAAGACTCCGGTCAGATTTCTAAAACAGGCTTGGGAAGCCAGGTCATATGTTTCTGAGAAGACTATTCATGAAGCTGTAACAGTGAAACTAAAAGCATCACAGAGACCTCAGGAAATTGAGGAAGTCAGGAATGCATAACATCTGAAGAAATTTACAAGGAGTGAGCAAATTTAGCTCAACAGGGAAACCGTGAGTAGTACAAGCACTAGCAATGCCTTAGGAAATGGGCCTCCCAATCCTTTTGGAATTCACATCTCACCACAACTTTCCCTGTGTGCACTACATGGAGGTACAGAATTTAAAGTTTGCCCTGATTGCTTTCTGTCTTGCAATGAAAATATTGACCCTGTGTTTTTATATGATGATAGTGTTTAACTTCCCTTTTGGTTTTTATAAAGGCTCACAGCAAGCTTGTCTTAAATCTCAGAGGAGATTGCACTGGGACTTTTCAGCAGTGCTAGATCCCTTAGGATTTGGGGAAGTCTTAGAGTTGGACTATATGCATTTTGCATAAAGAAATTCTCATAATCATTTTGGGGGGCTTGGGCAGAATGTTATGGTTTATATCTAGATGTTCAAACACAAACCCTCATGTGATCATACTTGAGTCTTTTGGAAGCTGATGGGATTATGGGGGTGTTAGAATTTGCTGTAAGAGATGGGTTCTGACCAGAAGTGGCAGGTTACTGTGGGTGTGACCTTGAAGTGCATATCTCCCTTCCCACCTCTTCCCTGGACTCTGCTTCTCGGCTGCCCTGAAGTTAAGAGCTCCTCCTCCATCATGCTCCTCTGCCATGCTGCTCTGCTTAGAAAACGGTCCACTGTGGACTGAATCACGCGCCAAAATAAGCCTCTCTCCTTTAAATTGGGAGTGTGTGATATTTTGTCCCAGTGATGAAGAAAGTTAAGACACAATGCTAGAAACAAGGTTATGGAAACTTCTTTCTTCATTTTTCATTTGCTCTATAAAGTAAATTTGGCAAAAATCATATATGAGTTCACATTATATCTAACCTTAGCATATAACACATTTTTACATTTTACAAATTTCAGTGTATTTTTGTATGTCTTATCACAGCATAATATGCACGAATATATATAAATATAGAGCATGCCACTATTTCGTAGGAGGCGGCGATCAAAAATGAAAGATTTATTTGAACAGATAAGGCATCAAAACTGAATCCCCCATTTAACTTTAACTTTATATTCCTTATCCAATAAATTATTTTTCTGTTGCTTAGTAGTATGCCTATGATTGAAAATATCATATGTATTATTTCAAGATAGAAAAGAGAATTTTAAATATTCTTATCAGAGAGAAATGAAAAGTGTTCAAGTTCATGGACATGATAAATGCCTTCATTTTATTTTTATACAATGTGGACGTGTATCAGAGCATAACACTATAAGAGCTGGGGCTGTAGCTCAGTGGCTCTGTGCCTGCCTGGCAAGTACAAGGTCCTGAGTTTGATCCCTGGAACCACAAACAAACAAATAAACACACATAACACTGTTTTCATATATTCAATTACTGCGCAGAATAACGATAAAACATTATAAGAAGTAATAAATGATGATGCCAGACTAACTGAATATTTATTAAAATTATTCACACTCCCTTGTATACCTTATTAAGTAAATTCTAACACCACTGTTTTTACAGTGTATCATATTTTAACTCTTAACTGACTGAAAAGTCAAATTTTACAAAATAAGAGCTCCACTTGTTTGTTGTAAAATTTCATCTTTCTCTATTCTTCATTCTTTTTTAAATGACTGGTAGTTTATAATCCCATTGAGTTAATTTTTGTAAACAGAAAATTATAATTCCAAAATATTAATAATACAATTGACATAGAGGAACGTGAAGGTAGACTCTACAAAGACTTATACCTAGCCTTATTGTTTTATCTAATTACAATGTTTTTGCCTAGGAATGAATTTGCAGAGAAAACTTGCTCTACCCAACAACAAATAAAATATTAAACATAGACACTGTGTGAACCCACTGAAAATAATGGGCTCTGTCTTTCTTGACTTAATAGCTTTCTGGGCAGAATGACAGACACATATAAAGCCTGCCATACTGACGATGTGATTAGAGTTGTGAACTGGAGTAGCATATTTCCAGAATCTTATACACCATCTTGTTTAAAGTATATTTGTAGTATGGCTACAGTGAACATAATGCTGCATTCAGAATAATATGATATCGCCATGGGAAAATGAGCTTGTAGTAGATTATTCTTTTTATTTATAAGCATTGGAACTCATGAAGTCACTATTTATATGTTGAGAAAATGTAAGCTTCGCAGAGAAAAAGCAAATGCAACATGAAATATCATGAGCACTCGCATTCATTCACAAAGCATCCCGATATGAGTAAACCTATACACAATTCAAATTACATAGAAATCATAACTGTTATCAAGTAGGTATAGTAGCCTAATTGTTCCTCTAACATGTATGTTTTTACAGTGGTGCCTGTGACTTCCTTCACTCTTCCCCTGTCTAACAGATCCAATTTTCTTATGCAATTCCTGCAACCAAGAGTAGTATCACTGCTTTCTCCACGATCCTGCAAAATGTTCTTCCAAATTATTTGCTTTCCTGTGGTGAATCTACCAGGACATTTAAAAGTGAACTGAATTATTATAGGCATCTGAATTAATTATCCATTTACCTTAAAATAAATAATTTGAGGAAGTGTATGAGAGTTAGAAATGGGTCTAGAGCTAGCAGTGTGCTTTAGGATGTCTCCACAATCTCGGTTTCTTAGGGTTCAAGACAAGTGAAGGTCCTGGCCAAAGTGAGCTTTCTGTAACTTTCAAGCAGGCAGCAGGAGAGAACAGAACCTGGACACTACATGCTAATTAAGAAGGAAGACAACTACTACTCAATTCCAGATGATACAATATGTGGGCTGAAGTATATTAGGAAAGCAGTAAACTCACACTGAACAGAAGTCAATCAATCTAGGCCTTAAATCTTTACTTGCAGCTTAAAGTTATATCCTGCTCTCTCTCAGAGAAAAATATCTTAAAAGGTAGAGCCCTCAGTAACAGTCATTGCATCAAAGCTAACTCTGGCTTTTTAAATTGCTTGATATTTTCTTTTCTACCCTTTTTTGTGTTCTCTGTGTTGTTTGTTGCATACTGTGTTCTTATGAAAATAAAAAGTCTCTGAGTTTAGTAGTTTGCATAAAGCATTTGCATGTAAAATTAAACACCTCAAATGAAAGTTTCTAAAGCTTCTGTATTCTAAATGGGGCAAACTGTATTTTTAGAAACATCCTAGTAAATAATAGAGTTGGAAAAGAAGAATAAATAGTCGAAATAATAAACAGTCGAAACTTTAATGTCTACCAAAACTATCCCACGAACTTGACATTACTGTATATTTTAAGTAATTCAGGAACAGAAGCCAACTTGCAACACTGGTTGCAGTCATGTTAGAAAATCTTGGTACAACTGGTTCAACAGGTGGCAGTGTTTCCCATAAGGATACCAAACCTCACAACTGTTTCATTAGCTTGGTAAATCAAATTAGTGATAAAGAAAACATTACTAATGGAAACACTGAGACTGATGATTTTGGTGATAGCAAAGTATATTAGAAGGGCCATGGTTTGAAATCTATCATTTAAATTTTCAATAAATCAAATCTATATACTCTGTATAAGATCTGCCTTGATTTCTTAACATTTTGTCTGAAAAAAGAAAGAAAAGGCTTTTTAACACATCAAAATATGAAGTATATACCTTAATTTAAGAGAACTGAGATCTATGTCTTTTGAAAACTGGTTCTATGGTTTCTATGGTTACAAGCATACATTTGGAACTTGAGTATTTCTTCTTTATGTACTTGACTTCGATAAGTGTTGTTTTTGCAAGAAGGTAAATAGTGCAGCAGTTTAAATTCTGCAATGCAAATCAGATGAGATTTATTGGTGTACCAGTTAAATTCTATATATTCTTACTGAATTTTTGTCAGCTTTTGAAAGATACATGATAATGTCTTCCAAGATGATCCAGAATTATTTGGTTTCTTCTGTTTATTTTCTCTTAATTTTTCCTAGACAGATTTTGAAAACATGTAAAAGGATTCACAGAAATAGAAGGATTTCGTGTCTTTCTTGGATTGAAATTAAATATTTTTTGGAGAGTCCGATTTAGTTGGATCTTAACTGTAGCATCCCATGGCCTGAGCACCTTAGCCTCTCTACCTCAATACATTTTAGAAGAGTTGCAGTAGATGAATTTCCATGCGTCTGTACTTTTTGTTTTTAAAAAGTGTCCTATGTTATGTAAAACTTCTCATATATTGGTATTTTGAAGGTCAGTAGAAATCCATATGACGTTTCTCTGACACTGGTTTTATCCCTTATGTTTGTTTTATTAACTTGAATTTTGGAAACATTGCCTTGGGCACAAGCCCGTTCCAATAGTTCACAGCTTTGCCGCTGAATATATCAAACTTATTTCCTGGTTCCACTACACACATTTCTGGGGAAAGCAGTAGTTTGGAGGGATGGGGAACCAGTTGTCTTCATCGACCAAATTTGATTAGAAAATTGGAGCAGGATAAAAAATTGACGCTCATAAATTTCTCATTAGTTAACTATATCAAGACGAGCAGAAATTTTTCACTATGACAGATCTATCATAACAAAACCATTAAGGCAAAGGGAACACCCATCTCACAGAAAAGAGTGCTGTGTCCATGATTTAATGTATTCGTACAGCTCATTATATTAAAAAGTAGCATGTATTTCTCTTTACTTGATTATGAGGGATTTTGGCCAAGTAATATCTCAGATAATTATAAAAAGTTAAGAAAAAGTTCCATTTTGTGGGGGGGGGCATTATTTTATCTTCTTGCTTTAGTCCTTAGAATCATATGATATGAAAACATGGACGATTTTAATTCTATTTTGTATGCTTTGTGTTTATTTTTTAATTACTTTGGCTTGGTCTAGGTTTAGAAGAAAGCATGAGATTGGGCATCCTTGTTTTGATCTCCCACTTAGTTTAAATATTTTCAGTTACCTTAACCACAAAATAGAATAATATCTGTCTAATATGACTATATTACATTTCCTTTCTACAGATTCAGTGAAGTCCAGGTCAAAATTTGAATTGTGTTTTAAATTAATACAAACCAAAGATTTTACATTATATGTGGAAGCACAAAAGAACTCCAAAGCCCAAATATCATGACCGAGTGTAGAAAACTGAATGAACGGATATAAAACTGCTGTTACTGGATAAAATTAAATATTATTTGGTTTTTTAAAAGTAAGAAATCTTGTAATATTCAACATCATGAATTAACATGGTAGACACTATTTGGAGTGAATTTAAGAAACCATGGTAGTACAGCGCTGCATGATCACAATTTTATGAGTAATCTAAATCATTAAATGTGTAGATTCAAAAATAATTATATTTGCCAGGGACTGGAAAAGGGCAAGTAATTTTCTAAGCAACAGGTATAAAATTTCAGGTAGAGATAATAAATTTTAAGGTTCTCATGAACAGCATTGTGCTTATAAATAACACTATTGTATTTTGGATATAAACTTGTGTTGAGAAGTTAAATCTCATGTCGACTATTCCTACATAAAGGGAAAAAAAGAATGCTCCAGACACTTGATATACATACTTTAATTTTAGTATCACACTGCACCTAACAAAAGGTTACAGAGGAAAATTATTTTCATAGCAGCTGTTCACTCATTAATGTAGAGTCTAATTTTATTCTTGTATAACTGCGAATTACTATTCATTTAATCTTAGCTAGAAATCTTACATCAAATTACATTTTAATTCAAAGTTTTTGTTATTTGAGTTATTTTGGGTTTTCTATAACAAAATGCTTTAATAAATGTGTTTTTAGGGGCTGGGGATATAGCTCAGTGGTTCCACCGCCTCCCTCGCAAGTGCAAGGACCCAAGGTCAAACCCCATACCAGAAAAAATAAAAAACAACAACAAAAAAACAACCAAAACTGGTGAAAAATAAGCAGTGAATGTACATAACAGCATATTAATTATTTTTCTCGTGGCTAGTTTATTAAATGTAAAACAGTTCCTAAAGTGTTAATCTATTTTTTTGTAAGTTTTCATTTTCTACTCAGTTTTTCTATGTAGTTCCAAGTTTGCACGTTGTTATTTTTGAATATCACATGCCGTGTTGAGGGGTATATACTTGCGTAAATCATTTTTTATTCAATATGGCTAGAAATTTTATTTTATATTTCTGTTGTTTACATGTGTGTTGCTGATAGAATATTTCAATTCAGGTATACAAATTATTTTTTAAAATATTATCATAATTTTTTTTTCTTCATTGAGTTTATTGGTACAATTTAGGTATACAGTGCAGTTACATTCATTACGGGGATCTTGTACCTTTACATGATAGGTCTTGGTTCTCATTTTTTCCCCTTGTCCCTGCCCTCCCTTCACCCCCAAATTTATATGAATCTAGTATTTAATTTCCTACATAGTAAACTAATATTTTTAAGTCTGAAATGAATCCATTTTATTCACTACCTTGCATAATATTCACTTATGTGGTTCTAATATTTACCATCTTTTCCTTAAAGCTTTGCTATGATATAAAAGCTACTAGTATTAAGCTGGTTGAATTGGAATCTTTTCCAGAACATTATCAACTGTATGTTCCCGAGTCAGCTCAAGTTGGTTCAGCAATTGGAAAAATCAAGGCGAATGATGCGGACACTGGCTCAAATGCTGATATGACTTACTCCATCATAAATGGGGATGGTGTTGGGATATTCTCTATCTCCACAGACAAAGACACCAGGGAAGGGATCCTTTCTTTAAAGAAGGTAAAACGAACACTGTTCTCATGACACAACCAACTCACCAATCTTAGGAGGAATGAAAATGCAACAGAGCTATAAATAGTCCATGTTGTCACATATATAAAATGATGAAATGTTTTCTCTTTTAAATGTAATTATATTTTAATCATAATTATGTAGGAATCTCTATATCCTTTGCTAGGAAATGTGGTTTGCTAAGACGGAATAATGTGAGGCAGAATTTGCTAGGACTGTGTTTCTCCTTGTGTGTGTTTGTATTTTATGACTGCTCAAATCTTCCTGAAACATCCCAGTTGTACTAGTCAAAGATTAAGAGGATTGCATTTCTCTCAAATACAAAGAGTTACTTATCACATGGAGAACTCTCTGGTTATTCAGTAATAACAATATAAGGTAAACTAAACTAATAGTTAAAATGCAATTATATAAATAATCTTAGAAAAATTGCAATAATTTAGAAAATATTCTAGTGGGCTACACAAATACTGTGAGATTTTATAGAAAATTGTATTTTAAAAGATGTGCAGTTCTGGTTTTAAAATTACACATATTTTAAAGCACAGTAATGACAATTTCATGTCTTTTTAAAGAGCCTGATGGGACAGAGATAAGAGAACTACCCTAGGTAATATATCACATTGAATACTTTGCGTGACAGTTGACAATATAAACCATATTCATTGTAGTAAAACTTAACATTTTATTATCATATTACTTTACATTGTATTAATTTTAGAATTTAATAGAAAGAGAACTGTTATCTTCTTAAAACTATTTAAACACTTGAAGTTAAAAAAAAGCCTAAGTGACAGTTACATTTCAAAGGTCTTTCACATACTTTTATAATATCTATTCCTTCACAGTGAGTCTATTCTGTATTCTTACACTTTATTTTATAATTTATCTTTTTATTTGTGTTTTGTTTTGTTTTGTTTTGTTTTGCTTTGCTTTTTGAGACAGGGTCTCACTATATAGTTGAGACTGAGCTGGAACTCACTATGTATCCCAGGCTGGTCTCAAACTCACAGCGATCCTCCTGCCTCAGCCTCCCGTGTGCTGGGGATTATGGCCGTGCACCACCACTCCTGGCATTTATGTTTTTATTGATATACAAAAATGTTCCCTCTACTTTCTTGTCCCTAATCTCTTTGTATTCCAGATATCTTAATTTGTGTTTAGCTCATTCCCCTTTTTTTCTTCAGCCTTCTCATATGAAGCAAATTTTCCTTCTAGTTTTCTCCGAATATGTGCATAAATTAGTATGTCTAATTCATTGTCTGTGTTCTCTACAAACTTATGCCCATGCAACAAATTTTTAGAGTTTGTGGATAATAGACTGAATGAATATCAGAGCTCTTATTTCTATTATTTTAAATTCTACTAATGAGAAACATCAAGAAATTTCTCTAATATAAAAATCTTCAGTGTGTTAGCTAACATGCTTTAGAGACAGCATTTAGCTTGATAGTCGTGGAGCTACAAAGACAGCTTTGGAGGAACTGTAAACTTTCTTCTCATTCTTTTTTGTTCATAAGACTCTCATTAGGAACAAAAGCATTACCTTCTGCCTTTGGAGTACGTGATCTTCACAATGATGATGCCATTGTAAATGTGTTGTGGAACAAGGACAATTAGAAAGCAAGGCTTTACATGAAATTCTTAGTGCATTACGCCTCGGTGTTGCTGTGCATTCAGTTTTCATTTGTGGTCCATGGTAACATTTGGAACTCCAGGCCCTGAATTCATTTTATTGGGGCTGAAACAGCTGCTGAGCTATCTCTCTTCCAGGTAATTCTCAACATGTTGGGAACATAGTCTGAGAAGTGCGCTTCTGGAGATGCAGTGCATCGTATCATCTATTAATCTAGCTAAACATCTGTGTGCTTATATACACTTTTATTTTATTGTATTAAATGCCATTATTTCTTCTCATAGCGACTCTAATTTATATCGATTTAGAATTGAATATTAATGTATGGTGGAGAAAGAATTAGAAAGAGGGAAATTACACCCCTTCTTTGAATAGCTTTGGAAGCAATATGAGGGAAAGCTCATGAAGCAGGTACATAGGAATATTGAAAATATTGTAAGGTACTGAAAGAGTTCCCGTGTAGAAGGATAATAGCTCAAGAGAGCAAAAACTTCAGGGGTACACTGCGGGTAGAGAGAGTCCTGACTGGAGTTTTGACCGCAGGTGACAGGCATCACCACCACCTCAGGGCAGTAAGACTTCGTGAACACAGCTGGAGGGCAGGGGGAGGAAATGAATGGCTGCAAAAAGTCTATAATCTATAGGCCGCCATAATCTATCGGAAGGAAGTGGGGGTTGACGATCGTCCACCTCTGCTGAAGCTTCTAATCTTTGTAAGACGAAGAAGTGACATATTTGCAAAAAATGAACAAGAGCGGGTCGTTTGTCTACAGTCATGATCTGAAATGCATAATTGAAGACAATGAAGAGATACTTTGTGGTTGCTTTTAACTGGATGATGATGATGATGATGGTTATCATTTCTTCGGTACCGGGGCTCGAACTCAGGTCCTTGTACTTGCGAGGCAGGCGCCAGAACCACTGTGCTAAATTCCCTGCCCTTAAGTGGATTATTTTTAAAAATACAAGGTAAAATCATGTATGCAAACGGGTGTATTTACTTTCATTCTATCTTTACATGCACGACTGTTATTTTCAAGAAGAAAATTGTTTCAATCTGATAAACCGTAGTGATGATATACTGAAAAAAATCTCGACGATAGATTCAAATTATATTTCATCATTTATTCCTGGATTATTTTAATATAGTCTAGATTTTTTTAAATTGAGTTACTGTTTGCATTTTATAAATTTTATATCCTTCAGAGTAACTATTTCAAAGTTGTTTTATCCCTGTATGTTTTATTTTAGAAATAATTGCAATTTGGGAATTAAGCTGTAATTTGGTGTATTTTAGCCTTTGAAGGTTATGAAATAGGAAGGTAAGAAATAGGTATTATAGTGCTTAAAAGTCTGTTTCTTATTTAATTTCTAAGGCGGCTCACCTTAGTCAGCAAGGCAGAAAAGCAAATCTCTTCAAAGATCAAAATCAGCGCTGCTGTATAAATCAGCTAGCAGGAGCTTATGGATTCCTCTCCATATCGCTCCTTCCTCAGAAAATTGCCAAGTTGAATTCGTTGATGCGTGAGGTGGTACACTGTAAATACACCTTGATAAGTTTCACTCATTGTTTAATGGAGCTTGACAAGGTGGGAAAAGATAAGGATGAATGTAAGTTGGCGTGCTCCTTCCTGACATCTCCCTCCGTAGCTAGAAACGTTCCTCTCTTTAGCACTCTCTTGCAATGGTCAGTTCACATTTTTTACAATTATCCTGAACATTTTTTTTAACCTCAATGCTTTAGTCCTATTTATTCTTAGCAAATGCCTTTCGTCACTTTCCTTTCAGTAGCTTCAATTCAGCTGTGTATAACATACTTATTAATTTAAGGCAAACAATTGAATCTTGCCATTTCAATCAATGATTGTAGAATATATTATCTTTGCTGTAAAAAACTATAATTTCTGACCTTGGCACTTAGCACTTCTTAGTCTTTGAATCTTCAATTTTACTTTTTTCAATACTTCATTAGGTGAGTGTAACAAAGAGATGAAAGATGGTGGAAATGGTTCTGAAAGCCATGTTTGGCTCATAATTACATTGCTACCAAGATATCTCCCTTTCTACCTTTCTTTCTTTATCTGTTCCAAGGCTGAATTATATCTTCTAGACCAGTCCTTGTGGTAATTTTGCTTTCTATTTCTTTCATGGGATTCATTTCACCTGGAAACTGTATAAGATGAAATGTTGTATGCATTTTTATGGCACACAGATGTTCTCCTGTTTCTTATTGACCCTCTTCCCTTTTTTCCCTGTAAACAGAAACCTGTTTTTCCTTAAGAGTTCAAGTTAGATATTGTTAAATAACTATAGCATTTCCATGTACTTTTCCTTCACAAACCATTGAACAAATTTTTTCATATATCATAGAATTCATATTCTAATTCTAATACACTATCAAATCTACACATTAAATATTTTATTATCAAAAAACGCATTCCCCAGGCCGGGGTTTAGGCTCAGTGGTTCCGCAGCCTGCCTTGCAAGTGCAAGGGCCTGAGTTCGATCCCTGGTACCACAAAAACAAAAAACTCATTCACACTTCTCTTTTTATACTTTTAAGGTTCTAGTTATCTGAAGTGCTATTCTGCTTATCTAAAGACTACAGAAAGAAGAGTCCCATGACATCAGTTACTGTATTTGTAATGATGTTTGTCAGCGCACTGCTATTGAGCCAGTTTTCATCATACTATTCCATCTCTCAGCATGATCATGATCATATATATATATAAAATTTTATATGTTATATAAATATATATAATTTAACACTGAAATGAGTCATAATTGTTTTCAGCACATATATTCCCACAATCAAAAGTAGTGCATTATTTGTAAAGTAATGATCTCATGAAATATCCTCATGAATTTTGTCTACATACTCATGGCCATTGGTGATCATTCATACCTGTGCGATCCTTTAATTAGTTACATACATTATATATGTATAAGAACAGGAATATTTATGGGCATGTAGATACTTATATAATATATGCATGCTTTATACAACCATCATGTAGAAAGAAACTTTATAAGTACCATTATATAGTACTTAAAATGAAAACTTCATATTCAACTTAAATAAGTAAAAATCTAATACTATTTGTATCATTATCCTGAGAATGCTACACAGTGCATTAGTGTGAATTTTTGTGCACATAAAAATCTATAGCAAGAAAGCTTACACATGTGTTCTAGTCTTTTTAGAATTTCCAGCCTGCCAAAAAGTGTTCTGTTGAATACCAAAAACCATAGCATAATAAGAATATTAAGCTAGAAAAATATCATCTAAGTTTATCCCATTTGCTTGTTTTTTGACAAAATGTCACTACTTAAAATATATGTTTTAAATAAA